GAATTACCATCAAAACAAAACTCTACCCTTGGCTTTGTCACTGTGAGAAACAGCCATAAAAGAACGCTTTCAATTATTTTTTGCAGAATTGCTATTAAATGCCTTGTAGAGTGTATTGAATACTGGCATCCAAAAATGATACCTCCAAGTCCTAACCCCTGATGCCTATGAATGTGTCCTCATTTACTTAGAAATAAGTCTTTTAGAAATTTACTTGGAAATAAGGTCTTTGCAAATGGAATTAAGCTAAGATCTCAAGATGAGATCATCTTGGATTTAAGCTGGGGCCTTGATCCAATGACTGGTGTCTTTATAAGAGGAAGAAGAGGGAGTTTTGAGACAGACACAGAAGAGAAAGCTATAGGAAGATGGAGGCTGAGATGGAAGTGATGTAATCCAGGGAATGCCAAGGCTTGCCTGCAGCCAGTAGGAGCTGAGAGTCATGGAATGGAGTCTCCCCCTTACAGCCTCCATAAGGAATGAACCCTGACAACACCTTGATTTTGGACCTCTGGCCTCCAGAAATGTGAAAAACTAAATTCTGTTGTTTTAAACCACCAAATTTGCTGTACATAGTTACAGTAGCCCTAGGAAGCTGATACATCTTATACATTACATCACAGTTCATATCAAGGACTAAACAACAAAGAATTCAGTATATGGAAGTACATCGGTCTCCTGATAAACACACAAAGAGCAATAGGATTGTAACTTGACAATATTACACTTTTTAATCAAAAAAATCAGACGAAAATTAGGGCTCAAGTTCAGTGATTTCTGATCTTGAATTCTTGTCATAAATGTCTCCTTGCTTTTCTGTTCCTTCATGTTGAATTTTATTTTTAGTTTGCTTACTGTGCATTAGGTTATATTGTAAATCACCTAAAATCCCCTTTTGAACAGAGATGGCTATAAAATTATAAATAATAGCAGAGTGGCTGAAAGAATGAGCTCAAGAATCAAACTTCCTAGGTTCAAATACCAGCTCCACAACTTAGGAGCTAGATGACTGTGTGGGCACTCCTTGCCTTAGTTTCCTCAGCTGTCACATGGGAATAATATCAGTATTGTTCTGGCATTGTTCTGTTACAAAGGATTAAATCAGTTAACAAATACATGCAAAGTGCTTAGAACAATGCCTGACATCTAAAAGGTATTCATTTCACAAATGTTAGCTATTACTATTGTCTGTGTTACTGCCTTAGTTACAATGCTCTCCTGAAGCTTCATTGCCTTCAGGATGAAGTTCAAGCTCCCCACCACAGTACATAAGGCTTTCCATGATGGCTGCCTGGGGGCTGCAACACATCTCTGCCAAGGGTGTCCTAGCTGACCCTCCAGCAATGCTGACCACACCTGCACACTTAGCTTCTCTGCTAGGGATCCCCTGGCTAACGCCTACTTACCGCTCAAGGTTCAGCCCTGGGGTTACCTGCTCCTGAAACCCAAGCCTCCCCTGGATTGTGGTAGACGTTCTTCATCCCAGCTCTCTGGGTGCTCTGGGCCTGTCTCCATGTCTAATGTCCACAATCTGTTAGAAGCACTTGTGTTATGTCTCTCTTGTCTAGGATGCATCCAACTCTCTTGATTTCAGTTGTGTTTGTTGGCAATGCTTTCATTCTTTCCAAAGAATTAAAGCACAGAAGCCCTTTGGAAGATGAGCCATCAGGCTGTAGTGGCGGAGGCTCCCTGTCTGAAGTCTGTATCCTGACTTAGGGTGGCCCTGGAAGGGTCAGATAGCATCGGACCACTTAAAGCTCCAGAAGGTCCTGCAAACCACATCTGGTCTGCTAATGTTTGGGATAAAAGTTGGCTTTTCTATTAAGGCCTTTGAACCTTAAGGCCAGTGTTACACAGTTGGTTAACTGTCATTCTGCATTTAGAGTCACTGACCCCTAATTTTGAGGGAGTTAAAGAATAACAGCCTCTGGGAGAAATAGTTTCCAGATAAATGACTTTGTTTGAGAACATTTGGAAGCACGACATTAAATCCTCTGAGAGGTTTGCCCTCATGCTCTTTTTGAAGACCTCAGCTCTGGGGCTTGGGGTGTGTGTGTGTGTGTGTGTGTGTGTGTATCTGAGCATGTGCACACATGGATATGCATGGGGAAAAGAATTGGTCAGGGCCCTGTGGTATCATGGGAACATCCTCACATTAGAATCAAAGGATAACAGGTTCATGGAAGAAACCTACCCATGGACTTGGGTTTAACTGGCCTTGTGTCCTACCCAACCCAGCTCTCCAGCTTCTCTCCACAAAGTTCCAGGCCTCCTCTCCTGGGATCCTTTATTCCCACTGAAAGCAGGATACGGAGTGTGAGGGCCCCAGACCTGGGGCCTGTGCATATCCTGTGATGGGAGCCTGAGCCTGCACCGGGGAAGAAGTGGAATAGCCAGGCTGCAGATTCCCAGACAACAAGGCCCCTGTGCTCTCCAGGGCCCTCCTGAGGCTGCACCTTTTGAGACTCTCCACCATTCAAGGGGCCCTTTGTGGGTATTCAGATGAAGGAAGATCAAGAAGTCTTCAGATGCAGAAAATGAGAGGTTAGGGGAGTGGAAAGGGAGCCAGGGTGATTTCTCCTCAGGTGGGCCTGCACCAGCAGCCAGTATGGAAGCAACGTGCAGCCTGGAGTCAGGCTGGCCTGGGCTAGAGCCAGGGGTGGGAGGAGGAGGGCAACTGGGAACATGCTACATCCAAGCTAGACTGTAAAGGCCTTTGGATGGGTAGCTGGTGCCAGGCACTCTTCCCTGTAACCGCCCATAAAGGCTGGCGCAGAGCTCATTTTCTTGCGCACAGAAATCCTTGTACCATCAGCCTGTACCCCATCCCAACTCCTCCATCCCCAATCCTAGCCTTCCTGGAGTGAAGGGGTAGGAATATTGATACTCCATCCTCATCATTCATATTATTTCTGACTTATGCCTAGGGGATTACAAATCAGAGAAAATAGTAAAAGTCTTCTTGAGTTTTATTCAGGACACTGGATCCTCCTCTTCTACCTCCTCAATCCTCCTCCTCTCCCCCTTCTTCTTCTTCTTTTGGGTGAGAAAGCCAGCTATTTCTTAGGGGCAGGGAGCTCAGGAGCTCTTGGCGGGGTGGATCTGCTTCCTCTTCACCATCGCAGGCTTCTGGCTGTGTAGGATGACGCTGGCCCTGCTGATGGGCAGCCATGCACAGGGTGGGGAAATAAAACTCAATGGTACTTACATCAAGATCAGACCTGCCTTGAGCCTGAGTTGCCTCAAGCAACTGAATGCCTCTCTGGCCTTTGGGCAGGTCCCAGATCATTTACATAGAAGCTGTAGAGGCCAAAAATCAAGTGCAACCAACAGGCAAGGCATGAAGTCAGATCATGTGCAGGACAACAAGTGCCCAGTGGAACAACCATTGGCCTGAGTCGTGGTCTAGAGCTAAGATCGGACACCACCAGCAGCAAGGAGGTAGCAGCCAGTCAACCAATAGGCTCTAGGTAGTGAGGACAGAGCAGGGAACAAAAGCACAGAAACCTTCTCCTCTTGGAACCTACATTTCTCACTGAAAAGAAAAGGCTGGAGGCCCAACCCAAGTCTGAAGGGCTCACTGTGGCACAACGAGGCCCTCAGGTTCTGTCTGGGTTTGATTCCTCTTTGCCTCTTACATCTAGTGACCTTACACAAGCCATGTACTTCTCTAGACTGTTTCCTCATCTGGAAAGTGGGATTAAAAAGGCCAGCAGCCTCAGTGGGCTGCTGTGAGGATTTTGTCAGTTAAGTAAAGCATTAAGAACAGCATGTCACTCACAACAAGCACAGTAAGAATTTCTTTCCTATTGTCCTGGGCACTGCCCTTATAAAAATGCCAGGAGTGTGCAATGTTTGCACTGCAGAGCATTTTAAAGAGACCACCCAGGGCCTGCCAGCTTGTGTTCCATCAGTGGTGACAAGTTGCTGCCTGGCCTCAGACAGGTCGCTAATTGTTCTCACCCTCCAGCCTTTCCCCAGTCCTGGGGTGGTAGAGGAGCAGATGATGCTGGCTACCTCAGGAGGTCCTAGGAGGCAATCTGAGGTCACCACCAGCAGAGTCAGGACAGGTGGCTCCAGGCTTGCCCTGGAAAGAGGTGGCAAGATGGCCTGATGGCAGAATAGGCACTCACGGCTTCATCTTGCAGGGTAAGCAGGAGCCCCAGGCTATAGAGATTAGGTATGAGCCTCTGAACGTCTTGCAGGGTGGCATCTGGAGTTGTTGTGTCATGATTGACTGAAATCTGGGCTCAAGTTAAATCAAGTTTGGAAAGCCTGATGAATGAACTCCTACCATTTTAAAAATATAGTCACTTCGTTTTGATGAAGTTGGGATAGGAACAAGCAGGAAGAGGATCCAGCTCATTCCACCTCTGGCCACCTCTGCGAGAGGAGCCACCTCCACTTCTGCACATCTGCAATGGATGGTCATGCGGAACTGCTCCGGTTTCCTGATCAAGAGGAATAAGCAGACCTACAGCAACGAGCCCAGTAACTGGAAGGCCCAAAACTCCTTCTGCTACAATGGGCTGATTCGCCGCAAGACTGTGGTCGTGGAGCCGGCAGCCAATGGCAAAGATGTCCTGGTGGTCACGAAGTGGAGATCGGGCCAGTGGACACCCGCTACCTCCTACGTGTGGACCACCATCAGCAAGAATGCTTGCGCTAAGCTCAGCAGCATCAGATGCAAGACCCGCAAGAACAAGTACCCGCCCCCCGACCAGTGCATGGCTGCCCATCAGCAGGGCCAGCGCCATCCTGCACAGCCAGAAGCCTGTGATGGTGAAGAGGAAGCAGATCCACCCCACCAAGAGCTCCTGAGCCCCCTAAGAAATAGCTGGCTTTCTCACCCAAAGGAAGAAGAAGGAGGGGGAGAGGAGGAGGATCGAGGAGGAAGAAGAAGAGGAGGATCCAGGGTCCTGAATAAAACTCAAGAAGACTTCTACTATTTGCTCTGATTTGTAATCCCCTAGGTGTAAGTCAGAAATAATATGAGTGTCCCGCCACCATGAAAGCCCTTTGCAGTGTTTAGAAAATCTGCGCTGTCCAATATGGCAGCCACAAGCCACATGTGCCTACTGAGCACTTGAAAATGGCTCGTTGAGAGCCGAGGCAGCAGGCAGAAGAGCAGGGGATGGGTGGACATCTTAAAATCCAGAGAGTTGGCCAGGCCGGCAGAGCAGAGGGCCACAGACATCAGGTCTGTTCTCAGAGCATGGGCCACGGAAACTGATCTGCCTCCACGATTGGAGGCTATTCATCTACAGTCACAAGGGGGAAGTGCTCATCTCCCCAGTCTACCAAGATGACATCCAGAGGAATGGAGTGGACGCCTTTTGGAGCAATGTGATCCCTGCCTGGCAGCAGGTGCACAGCCCCGTCACCAACATTGCTCACACCAGCTTCTTCCACGTCAAGCAATCCAACATCTGGCTGGCAGCCGTCACCAAGCAGAATGTCAACGCTGCCATGGTCTTTGAATAAGATCTGTGACATGATGGCTGCCTGCTTTAGCAAGATCAGCCAGGAAAACATCAAGAAAAATTTTGTGCTCATATATGAGCTGCTGGATGAGATTCTAGACTTTGGCTACCCGCAGAATTCTGAGACAGGTGTGCTGAAAACCTTCATCACCCAGCAGGGCATCAAGAGTCAGCATCAGACAAAAGAAGAGCAGTCACAGATCACCAACCAGGTGACTGGGCAGATCGGCTGGTGGCGAGAGGGTATCAAGTATCTCTGGAATGAGCTCTTCCTGGATGTGCTGGAGAGTGTGAACCTGCTCATGTCCCCACAAGGGCAGGAGCTGAGTGCCCATGTGTCGGGCCGGATGGTGATGAAGAGCAACCTGAGTGGGATACCTGAATGCAAGTTTGGGATGAATGACAACATCGTCACTGAAAAACAGGGCAAAGGCACAGCTGATGAAACAAGCAAGAGCGGGAAGCAATCAATTGCCATTGATGACTGCACCTTCCACCAGTGTGTGCAACTCAGCAAGTTTGACTGAACGCAGCATCAGCTTTATCCTGCCAGATGGAGCGTTGGAGCATATGAGGTATCACACAACCAAGGACATCATCCTTCCCTTCCGGGTCATCCCTCCCTCTAGTGTGAGAAGTGGGATGCACCAAACTGGAGGTCAAGGTGGTCATCAAGTTCAACCGTAAACCTGCACTGCTGGCTCAGAAGACTGAGGTGAGGATCCCAATCCCCCTGAACACAAGTGGGATGCAGGTGATCTGCATGAAGGGGAAGGCCAAGTACAAGGCCAGCAAGAATGCCATCGTATGGAAGGTCAAGCGCATGGCAGGTATGAAGGAATCACAGATCAGCGCAGAGATTGAGCTTCTTCTGCCCACCAATGACAAGAAGAAATGGGCTCAACCCCCATTTCCATGAACTTTGAGGTGCCATTTGCGTCCTCTGGCCTCAACATGTGCTACTTGAAGGTGTTTTAACTGAAGCTGAACTACAGTGACCATGATGTCATCAAATGGGCGCACTACATTGGCTGCAGTGGCATTTATGAAACTCGCTGCTAGGTGCCACTAGGCAGCTAGGACACCTCCCCACCCACGCTCTTCCACAGGTCCAGGTGCCGCTCCCTCCCCACCACCACACATCAGTGTCTCCTCCCTCCTGCTTTGCTGCCTTCCCTTTGCACCAGGCCCTGAGTCTAGGTCTGGGCCAAGCACATTGCAAGTGGGACTGGTGGAGCAGTCCCTGGGCTTCCTGGGCTCCCTGGACTCCCTGGGCAAAGTGGTTCTGAGGCTCCTGCCCTCCCAGCCACCTGTCTGTCATGGCCTAGCCAGGCTCTGAGTTCTGTGACCAAAGCCAGGTGGGTTCCTTTTCCTTCCCACCCCTGTGGCCACACCTCTGGATTGGAAGGGTTGGCTGCCCCTCACTCGGAGCTCCCCCAAAGACCAGTAATGGATCCCCAGCCCTCATTTCCTACTCTGCTTTGGGATAGTGTGTGCTTCATTTTGTCCATGTGTGACTCCATCCAGTTATAAACCCAATAAATTCTGTAGAGTGAAAAAAAAAAAGAAAAGAAAATGGCTCATTTGAGATATGCTGTATGTGTACACTCTGGATTCCAAGACTTAGCATGGAAAAAACAATGTAAATATCCATTAATAATTTTTATTAATTACATATTGAAATGCTAATATTTTTATATATTGGGCCAAAATAAAATGTATTACTAAAATTAATTTCACCCATTTCTTTTTCTTTTTCTCTTGTATGTGGCTACTAGAAAATCTACATATGTGACTTTCTATTGGGTGGTGGAGTTTAAACAGAGAATGGTATTCATGGGGTCTGCTTTTCCCAGCAGTGCCAGTTGAGTCATCACTGATTTCTTCTTGCTCAAACAGCAAACAGACTGCAGTGGAGAAAACACTGAGCCAGGAGTCTGCAGGTCCAATTCATCACTCCACCTCAGCCATCAAGTTGCTGCATGGCCTGGTAAGAGCAGTGATAGCAGCAAACACTTGCACAGGTTTTTAATGTATACATTTAAACAGGCCAGGTGCTGTTCTAAACATTTGACACATGTAAATTTCTCACTAAAACTCTATGAGATGATGGGAGCCATTATTAGCTTCATTTTCCGTATGTGGACACAGAGGTGTTAAGAGGTTAAATCACAAGCCCTAAGCTCACGACCGGAAATAGGTGGAGCCAGGAGTCAAAGCCAGGCGGTCTGCTTCCAAGTTCTGCATTGTGAACCGCCTCTTACCTCAAGTAATCCATACTTGCTTGGATTTGGTTTCTTTGTCTATCAAATAAAGTTAATAATATCCGTCTGTCTACCTTGCAGGATTGTATAAGACAACACGAGTGACCACAGCCTGTGCAGATGGAAGCTGGGAGAAGCTTAGGGAAGGAAATTGGTAGAACTAGGATTCAAAGCCAGGCTGTCGGTTCCAAGGCCTATGCTGCAAACCATCTCTTACCACAAGGAATCCAAAGTCGCTTGGATTCAGTTTCTTTGTCTAAGAAGCAAGGATCAGAAGACAACATGGGTGACCACAGACTATATAGACGTCAGCTGGTAGCAGCTTAGGAGAGGAAATTACACTGAAGGAGCTTCCCATCCACAAGGCTACTAAAACCCAAGCTCGTAGCTTACAATAATGTCTTCCCGAATGCCCCCAAATGGAATTAACGTTTTCTCTTCTTATGCTTCATAACGTTCTGACACATCACAGTCCTTCACACATCTCATCTTTCAGTGCACACACACGTGTGTGTATCCGTTTCCTTCATTACTGGTCAGATTTTTCAAAGGCAGACTGTCTTACAGATCAGTGCTTTTTAACTGGAGGTTAAGATATTGCTCCCAGAGGACATTTTGTAACGTCTGGAGAAAGTTTTGGTTAACACAACTTGTGAGGTTGGAGGTATGGCGATACTAACATCTAGTGGGTAAAGATCAGGGATGCTGCTAAGCATCTGACAACACACAGAACAGCCCCTACAACAAGGATTATCTGGGCCAAAATCTCCATACTGCCAAGAGTGAGAAACCCTGTAGATCATTAGATGATCCATTATGCCTAAACATGCATGAAACAATAGGCACTCCATAAGTGACAAAAGACTGATTGATTAATTGAAAGAAAAACAAACACATATTTACCCATCTGCATGGATATAACTTCCTTTTGGCTATGCTCTACAAATATGTATCCAGTGCCCACCATATGGCAGACACATTATCAGGCTGGGGGACAGGGGAATGCAAAGTTCCAAAGCACATGAGGCCCCTGTCCTCAGAATAGGACAGTCTCCTAGGAGAGCCAGAGTAAAGCAGTGTGTCAAACATAAGTGCCCTCATTCTTGCCAGCTCTGGTCAGAAGCATCACACAGAGACTTTGTGACAACAGATGACCCAGCCAATCCTGGAGATACTCATCATTTTTTCTCAATCTTTATTTTGAAAAATGTCAAATATATAGAAAAGGTAGAATAACAGTACAATACACATATTTATATACATTAGCAACATTTAGATAGATAGACGTAGAAATATAAATACACACACAATGCTTTGGGAAATAAGATGCAGACATCATGACCTCAGCCAAATACATCAGCATGCACAGGACAGACCTACTGATTTAATCAGTCTGGAGTGAGGACTTGGCATCGGTAGTTTAAAAAATTCCCCATTTGGGTAAGGGCCAAGATGGCCAAATAGGAACAGCTCCTGTCTGCAGCTCCCAGAGAGACCAATGAAGAAGGTGGGTGATTTCTGCATTTCCAACTGAGGTACCCAGTTCATCTCACTGGAACTGGTTAGGCAGTGGGTGCAACCCACAGAGAGCTAGCAGAAGCAGGGCAGGCATTGCTGCACCAGGGAAGTGCAAGGAGCCAGGGGCCTTCCTCCCTGAGCCAAGGGAAGCCGTGAGGGACAGTGCTACCTGCTCCAGGTGCTATGGTTTGCCTACAGATTTTTGCAATCTGCAGATCCAAAATTTCCTTGTGAGCCCGCACCACCACAGTCCTGAGTTTCAGGCACAAAACTTGGTACCTGTTTGGGCAGGCACCAAGCTAGCTGCAGGAGTTTTTTTTTTTTTTTCATACCCCAGTGGCACCTGGAACCTCAGTGAGACAAGAGAACTGTCCACTTACCTGGAAAGGGGCCTGAAATCAGGGAACCAAGTGGTGTCACTCAGCAGGTCCTACTCCCACCAAGCCCAGCAAACTAAGAACCACTGGCTTGAAATTCTCACTGCCAGCACAGCAGTCTGGAGTTGACCCAATCAAGCTTGATGAGGCTTTAGTATGCCGTTTTCTCCTGACAGTGCTGAGACTGGGAGGTTTGGACTGGGTGGAATTCACCACAGTGCAGCGAAGTGACTGTGGTCAGACTCCTTCTCTAGATTCCTGTCACCGGGCAGGGCGTCTCTACAGGAAATGCAGCAGCCCCAGTCAGGGGCTTACAGATAATACTCTCATCTCCCTGGGACAGAGCACTTGGAGAGAGGGGCAGCTATGGGCACTGCTTCAGCTGACTTAATCTTTCCTGTCTGCTGGCTCTGAAGAGAGCAGCTGACCCTAACAAGGAAGATTCTCCCAGCATAGTGCACCAGCTCTGCCAAGGGACAGACTGCCTTCTCAAGTGGGTCCCTGATCCCCGTGCCTCCTGACTGGGAGAGACCTCGTCACAGGGGTTGACAGACACCTTATACAGGAAAGCCCCAGCTGGCATCTGGCAGATGCTCCTCTGAAATGAAGCTTCCAGAGAAAGAAGCAGGCAACAATCTTTGCTGTTCCACAGCCTCTACTGCTGATACCCAAGTGAAGAGGGTCTAGAGCAGAACTGCAGCAGAGGGGCCTGACTGTGAGAAAAAAATTAACTAACAAACAGAAAGCAACAACAACCACCACATCAACACAAAAGATCACCACATCAACACAAAAGATCCCCACACAAAAACCCCATCCAGAGATCATCAGCCTCAAAGATCAGAGGTAGATAAATCCAGGAAGATGAGGAAAGACCAGTACAAAACTCTGAAAATTCCAAAAGCCAGAATGCCTATTCTTTTCCAAATGATGGCAACTCCTTTCCAGCAAGGGCACAAAACTCAATGGAGAATTAGATTGATGAATTGACAGACGTTAGCTTCAGAAGGTGGGTAATAACAAACTCCTCTGAGCTAAAGGAGCATGTTCTAACCCAATGCAAGGAAGCTAAGAACCTTGATAAAAGGTTACAGGAACTGCTAACTAGAATAACCAGTTCAGAGAAGAACATAAATGACCTGATGGAGCTGAGAAACACAGCGCAAGAACTTCATGAAGCATACACAAGTATCAGTAGCTGAGTTGATCAAGTGTAAGAAAGGATATCAGAGATTGAAGTCCATCTTGCTGAAACAAGGCATGCTGATGAGATTAGAGAAAAAAGAATGAAAAGGAACAAACAAAGCCTCCAGGAAGTATGGGACTATGTGAAAAGACCAAATCTACGTTTGACTGGTGTACCTGAAAGTGACAGGGAGAATGGAACCAAGTTGGAAAACATACCTCAGGTTGTCATCCAGCAGAACTTCCCCAACCTAGCAAGACAGGCCAACATTCAAATTCAGGAAATACAGAGAACAACACTAAGATACTCCATGAGAAGATCAACCCCAAGTCACATAATCATCTGATTCTCCAAGGTAGAAACGAGGAAAAATTGTTAAAGGCAGCCAGAGAAAGGTCAGGTTATCTCCAAAGGGAAGCCCATTGGACTAACATTGAATCTCTCTGCAGAAACCTTACAAGCCAGAAGAGAGTGGGGGCCAATATTCAACATTCTTAAACAAAAGAATTTTCAACCCAGAATTTCATATCCACCCAAACCAAGCTTCACAAGTGAAGGAGAAATAAAATCCTTTACAGACAAGCAAATACTGAGGGATTTTGTCACCAGCAGGCCTGCCTTACAAGACCTCCTGATGGAAGCACTAAATGTGGAAAGAAACAACTGGTACTGGCCACTGTACAAACAGCAACAGCTAAAGCAGTGCTTAGAGGGAAATTTATAGCACTACATGCCCACAAGAAAAAGTTGGAAAGACATAAAAATCGACACCCTAACATAACAATTGAAAGAACTAGAGAAGCAAGAGCAAACAAATTCAAAAGCTAGCAGAAGACAAGAAATAACTAAGATCAGAGCAAAACGGAAGGATAGAGGCACAAAAAACCTTCAAAAAAATCAGTGAATCCAGGAGCTGGTTTTTTGAAAAATTAGCAAAATAGACTCCTAGCCAGACTAATAAAGAAGAAAAGAGAGAAGAATCAAATATACACAATAAAAAATGATTAGGAGATATCACCACTGATCATACAAAAATACAAACTACCATCAGAGAATACTATAAACACCTCTGTGCAAAGAAGCTAGAAAATCTAGAAGAAATGAATAAATTTCTGGACACATACACTCTCTGAAGACTAAACCAGGAAGAAGTTGAATTCCTGAATAGACCAATAATGTGTTCTGAAATTGAGGCAGTAATTAATAACCTACCAACCAAAAACAGCCCAGGACCAGATAGAGTCACAGCCGAATTCTACCAGAGGTACAAAGAGAAGCTGGTACCATT